AAAGTTTATCTTATCTATATAATCTTTTACCTGAGACCAGTGTATTGATATTTGATACCTGCCACACGCCTTTGTAAACTAGGGATGTATATCTCTACCACTGAGGCCGATTCGATACACATCTCGATACACTACCAGCGATTCGATACATTAACGATACACTGAAGTCCCTGTCGATAAGATGCAATACGATTCGTTCCTATTCACGATACGATGCGATTCAAAGATGATTTTAATAACGATATGACTGATTTGCAACGGGATTCGTTTTGACATGATGTGATCCTGTTTGATACAGTAAGTGTGAGAGTTTATTAGCCCACATCAGGTTTCTTACCTCAAATTCTGCTTTACTCTATCAATATGAGGGATGTATTTAATATTTGGTTATGGTGAAGAGAATCAGCCAATGTCTGGGATCGCGTCTTTAATTCAGACAGAAGACATGTTTTATTGTCAATGGTAGAGACAGCACGAACAACACGAACAACAGAATGCAAGTGTATTATACAGAGCGGAGGCATAGAGACCTCCAATCAGCAGCTGCCACAGTGCCAGCAGAGATAGTCGAAACAAGTAGTGGAAAAGTACTGGCTTCTGCACATTGATAGAATGATCAGTTTAACTTTAACAAAAGTTGCTTAAAAGTGTTATGAAATCTCACATTGGTTATTAGAATTAGTGAAGCGTCTTTGAGTTCTTGATAAGCGCTATATAAAACCGATGTATTATTATTATTATTATGGAGCAAACCAAGTCATCCTATTTGAAAAAAACATTATTCAGTATGTACAGAGTATTTATTTATTTGCATCCTTCATTCTCTAAAACGCTTTAGGGCTGAATATCTTTGGAGATGAAGTAGACTAACTAACTGCTATAGCAGTAAATTTCTCCTGTGTGAGATTAATAAATAATCTTATCATAGCATCAGTTAAGGCCTGGGAGCGGGCAGAGTTAGCTGCTTGAGACGTGTTTTGACCAAAGAAGTTTGTGATAGACCAACTGCTCGCGTCGCCAACTTTGCTGCTGCTCATTGTGGCTGGTGCTTCGGTATAATCCAAAAGAGAGGAGGGGGTAACAGACGCGGAGGTATCCACGCCATGCTATCTTCTCAGATGCGTTGCCAGGTTCGTTGTGCTACCCACGTATTTGATAGGCAGCGCCCGGCATTTCCGCGCGCTTGACTTGTTTTTTTTGGTGTCCTTGCCGTTTATGTTGTGAACGTGCATGCTCGTTTTGGACGCGAAGCTTACGTCAGAGCCAGAGGAAGCGATGGTGCATTCAGATTGCCTCGGAAATATGATAGGCCAGGGAATAGAATCGATTTAACCATGGAATTTACCAATGCAGACAGGCTGGAAGAGATGCACCGCAAATTCACACCCAAATTGTATCCGATGCGCCATGAATGTATCCGTGTAGTTGCATCGCAGACGTTTGTATCGGACCACCGATGAGAATCAGTGAATCTTCACATCTCTAATGTAAACGTTATAAGGCATCAGTTTTTAATAACAGTTTTTTTTTTTTGGACAGCCAAAGACGTCACTATTTTTCCAATCAATACACGGTGGTGATATACTACTGCTGAGGCCACACCAGCCCCTCCAACCAACACCAACCATTCACGCACCAGACTCATTCTAGGCAATGAAGGTGTTATACAACAGCTGTTTGGCATTTTACAGCTGTAACCGCCCCACTATGGTGTGCCCACAGGTCTCCCATCACATTACTGACCAGGCCCTGCCCTGCACATCTTAAGAAGGTCTGACAGGATCTGGCTTTCGCATGCAAGTGCGGCCACGCTGCATATTTGAGATTTCACATGGGCTAAAAGAATAAAAATTCAAAAACAATTATGAATAAATAGAGGTGCAACGGTTCATCACTGATCCGTGATCCGTTCGGATCAACGTCTTCGGTACGGTACAGACGTGATCCAAGGTTTGATTTATGAAAAAAAAGTTGTGCGCACGTTGTTCAGTCCACTCACAGCGTAATCATGGCGAGCGGAGGAACGGAGGAGCTTGAAAGCCCCGCGTCATGAGTATGAGAGCATTTTGGCTTCACTGTCAACTATACTGATTATTACAGTGCCTTGCGAAAGTATTCGGCCCCCCTTGAACCTTCAACAAAATTTATTGGATAATTTAAACTTTTTTAACAAATAAAAACTGAAAAGTGGGGCGTGCAATATTATTCGGCTCCTTTACTTTCAGTGCAGCAAACTCACTCCAGAAGTTCAGTGAGGATCTTTGAATGATCCAATGTTGTCCTAAATTACTTATTATGATAAATAGAATGCACCTGTGTGTAATCAAGTCTCCGTATAAATGCACCTGCTCTTTGATTGTCTCAGGGTTCTGTTTAAAGCGCAGAGAGAACCATGAAGACAGAGGAACACACCAGGCAGGTCCGAGATACTGTTGTGGAGAAGTTTAAAGCCGGATTTGGATACAAAAAGATTTCCCAAGCTTTAAACATCTCAAGGAGCACTGTGCAAGCAGTTATATTGAAATGGATGGAGTATCAGACCACTGCAAATCTACCAAGACCCGGCCGTCCCTCCAAACTTTCATCTCAAACAAGGAGAAGACTGATCAGAGATGCAGCCAAGAGGCCCATGATCTCTCTGGATGAACTGCAGATAACTACAGCTGAGGTGGGAGAGTCTGTCCATAGGACAACAATCAGTCGTGCACTGCACAAATCTGGCCTTTATGGAAGAGTGGCAAGAAGAAAGCCATTTCTCAAAGATATCCATAAAAAGTCTTGTTTATAGTTTGCCACAAGCCACCTGGGAGACACACCAAACATGTGGAAGAAGGTGCTCTGGTCAGATGAAACCAAAATCGAACTTTTTGGCCACAATGCAAAACGATATGTTTGGCGTAAAAGCAACACAGCTCATCACCCTGAACACACCATCCCCACTGTCAAACATGGTGGTGGCAGCATCATGGTTTGGGCCTGCTTTTCTTCAGCAGGGACAGGGAAGATGGCTAAAATTGATGGGAAGATGGATGGAGCCAAACACAGGACCATTCTGGAAGAAAACCTGTTGGAGTCTGCAAAAGACCTGAGACTGGGACGGAGATTTCTCTTCCAACAGGACAATGATCCAAAACATAAAGCCAAATCTACAATGGAATGGTTCACAAATAGACGTATCCAGGTGTTAGAATGGCCAAGTCAAAGTCCAGACCTGAATCCAATCGAGAATCTGTGGAAAGAGCTGAAGACTGCTGTTCACAAACGCTCTCCATCCAACCTCACTGAGCTCGAGCTGTTTTGCAAGGAAGAATGGGAAAGAATTCCAGTCTCTCGATGTGGAAAACTGATAGAGACATACCCCAAGCGACTTGCAGCTGTAATTGCAGCAAAAGGTGGCGCTACAAAGTATTAGCGCAAGGGGGCCGAATAATATTGCACGCCCCACTTTTCAGTTTTTTATTTGTTAAAAAAGTTTAAATTATCCAATAAATTTCATCCCACTTCACGATTGTGTCCCACTTGTTGTTGATTCTTGACCAAAAATTAATTTTTTATATCTTGATGTTTGAAGCCTAAAATGTGGCGAAATGTTGAAAGGTTCAAGGGGGCCGAATACTTTCGCAAGGCACTGTAAATAGTCGACAAAACTGTCACGATGTGTAAACACTGTGGCACAACAAAGACATGAGTGAAAAAAGCTTCTCAACAACCGCTTATTGCCGCGGCATTTAAATAGCCCCCTCACGCACAGTCAGACCGGGCTAAAGTCAACTCTCACGCTCATCCACAGTTGCGCTCACGACTGACGCTTGGACGTCCCACTGGGAGATGAAAAGTCTGGCGCTGCAGACACGCCCCCTATACGAAAGTCACACAGGCACACAGCGCAGGCACTGACACAAGCAGCAGTGGAATGGAAGACAAAGGCCCAGTACTAATATCCCAGTCACACTGATATCCAATCATCAAGCAATCAACGTTTATTTGTATAGCGCCGTTCTACAAAGGCAACGGCAAACGCTTCACAACCCCTATCACCATCATGCAGCATGCCAAAATTAAATAAATGCAGTGAATGAGGCAGGAGAATCAGGAAGGTGGTTTACTATTGAGGGTAAATACCCTCATAAAGTGCCTTCTTATGTTGCACTTTGTGTTGTTTTTCATTAATTATGTTAAAAAGACATAATTGGATGGATGGATGGAAGGCATATTCCATCCATTTCCTTCCCCTTAATCCATTTCTAGGTCAGGGGGGTGGCAGTCAGAGCTGCACCCAGTACACAGAGCACCAGCCCCTCACTGATCCTCCTGCAGGTGCCGAGTCCACATGAGCCGTGTTTATTAAAAAGACAACACTTTTTTTTTTGCTGATTCAAAAAATTAACCGAACCGTGGCTTCTAAACCGAGGTACGACCCGAACCGTGATTTTTTTCAAACCGTTGCACCCCTATGATTAAATAATTATGGTGAAGATGGGAGTTTAGAAATAGTATTAGGAAATGGATTAGATAAGAATGTTGAAAAAGGTTATCTATAATAAAATGAGCTTTCGGATCATCTTGACAAGGAAACCCTAATTGTCAAAACAGCCCCACAAAAACTATGCAACCAACCCCTAATTTAATATTGAAAACCACGTCAAAGTGGGTTTTTTATTATTATTTGCTTCTCTTTTCTCTTCAAATCCTAGGTGTGTTCTGACTCCCAATCTCTACAATACCTTGAAAAAAATGCAGGCTTACTGAAGCGAACTTGCCTCTCCGTAGAGATGACCTAGAACTTAGCCTGGAGGTACCACTTGCATGTCTCCAGGGATGTACATAAGCTTGGTTTCTCACTCCCTTTAACCCCTTTAACTCCCTTTGTTTCTCACTCCCTTTAATCTTTGCCTACCAAATACCGGGTGGCACATTGCTCACCGTTAAGCAGGTCATGGTTGACAAGTGTTTCTTCAGTAGAAACTTGACAAAGCGATGAGCACAATATTAAACCTTACCCCCGTTGAGCCAAGGTATCCCTCCTCTTGCAAGATGGCTCTGGCACAATTGTTTATGTGTTTGAAGCGGTCAGGCCCCAACAAAATTCCTCCATACCACCGGGATACGACCACCAGCACGTTACGCACATCCAAGATCTACACGGGGGAAAATATATGTGAGAAGTGGCTTAAAGATGGACAGAAATAATGCACGTTGTGAAATGTGTCTCAAACACCTGGTTTCAAAAGCTATTTTCAGCTAGCCAAATATTTCACACCATGAGCAGGAAGTGTATTTTTCTCAAGCAGTTCTGTCACTCAGAACCCGTTGCAGTGATGAGACAGGTTTTGAAAGGATTTCTTTATTTGGCTGCTATGCAGAGAATAGCTCTGTAGGGGCTCTGTGAGAAACTCAATGGATCAAGGTTAGGCAAGCATTGTGAATAAAATGACATCCCAGGTACAATAAAGTGGCAGTAGAGACCTCAGACGCACAGAATAAATAAGCCTAAAGTTGAGAGGCATAAATAATATATACATACAAGAAACGCAGAGAACAGTTGACATTTATAGGCATTCTATGAATCCAAACCATTGATCAATCCACTTGTGCATTGCTTCATAGTTAGATAGATTATAGATCATTATTGTTTTTCGTAAAACAGGTCTATTTTTGTTTGCAGACAAATGTAATACAGTTTCACTGCAGAGTAAAATAAAGTGTGAAACTTTCCACACTCCAAGGTCAGTGAATCAGAATCAGAATCATTTTTATTGCCACGTAAGTAACAGGAGGTCACAGACTAGGAAATTGCTTTGGCTCAGTGCAACAGTCAAAAAGAGATAATAAAAATAAGAATAAAAAACTTCTAAAGAATAAATTTAAATTTAAAATAGAGTTACAGTTACTATTTATAATATACAAGTGCACATGGTGCACACAATGTAAGGTGACAGCAGTACAGTGAAGTAAAGTGACGTATGATGGGCAGTAAAGTGACTTTATAAAGGGCGGGGGGACAGGTTAAGAAGTGTTCAAGAGTCCAACAGTAGAGGGGAAGAAACTGTTCTTGTGGCGGGAGGTTCTAGTCCTGATGGACCGCAGCCTCCTGCCTGAGGGGAGTGGTTGGAATAGTCCATGTGCAGGGTGAGAGGGGTCGGCTGTGATACGACCAGCCCGGCCTCGAGCTCGGGCGACGTACAGGTCCTGCAGCGATGGAAGGCTGCGGCCGATCACTTCCTCTGCAGAGCGCACAATGCGCTGTAGTCTCTGTTTGTCCCTGACTGTGGCTCCAGCGAACCACACGGTGACGGAGGAGGTGAGGATGGACTCGATGATGGCCGTGTAGAACTGCACCAACATCTGTGCAGGCAGCTTGGCTTCCCTGAGCTGCCGCAGGAAGTACATCCTCTGCTGGGCCTTCTTGATGAGGGAGCTGATGGTCGGCTCCCACTTGAGGTCCTGGGTGATGGTGGTGCCCAGGAAACGGAAGGACTCCACAGAGGTGATGGGGGAGTCCATCACGGAGGGTGGGGGTGGGGGGACAGTGCTCTTCCTGAAGTCCACAATCATCTCCACTGTCTTCTGGGCGTTCAGCTCCAGGTTGTTACCACTGCACCAGGACACCAGCCGGTCCACCTCCATCCTGTAGGCGGACTCATCGTTGTTGGAGATGAGTCCAATGAGGGTGGTGTCGTCCGCGAACTTGATCAGCTTCACGTAGTCGTGGCTGGAGGTGCAGTGGTTGGTGTACAGGGAGAAGAGCAGGGGAGAAAGAACACAGCCCTGTGGGGCTCCTGTATTTATAATCCGAGAGTCCGAGACATTCTTCCCCAGACGCACTCGCTGCTTCCTGTCCGTCAGGAAGTCAGTGATCCACCTGCAGGTGGAATCGGGCACGTTGAGCTGGGAGAGCTTGTCCTGGAGCAGGGATGGCAGGATTGTGTTGAAGGCAGAGCTGAAGTCCACGAACAGGACCCTGGCGTAGGTCCCCGGGGAGTCCAGGTGCTGTAGGATGTGGTGGAGGGCCAGGTTAATGGCGTCGTCTACAGATCTGTTGGCTCTGTAGGCGAACTGCAGGGGGTCCAGGAGGGGGGAGGTGAGGGACTTGAGATGGGAGAGAACCAGGCGTTCAAATGACTTCATGACGACAGACGTAAGTGCTACAGGTCTGTAGTCATTGAGTCCTGTGATCCTGGGCTTCTTCGGGACGGGGACAATGATGGAGGATTTGAAGCAGGCCGGGACATGGCAGGACTGCAAAGAGGTGTTGAAAATGTCCGTGAACACAGGAGTAAGCTCACTGGCGCAGTGTCTCAGAGTGGCCGGAGACACGTGGTCCGGGCCAGGAGCTTTGCGGGGGTGCAGCCTCAGGAAGAGTTGTTTAATCTCTTTAGCGGCTATTGTCAGGCTGGGGGCAGGGCTGATGGGTGGGTCGTTAGAGTAGTGGGGGGTGGGGGAGGGAGAGGTGTCAGGGGCAGCATCAAAGCGACTGAAAAATAAGTTCAGATTGTCAGCTAGCTTGTGGTCGTCAGCACAGGGGGGGGCTTTGGGTTTGTAGTTGGTGATCTCCCGTAGGCCCCTCCAGACAGAAGCAGTATCGTTGTTACCAAACTGCTCCTGTAGTCGTTCTCTGTGCCGGGACTTGGCTGCTTTCAGTTCTCTCCTGAACTGATATTTAGCTGCTTTGTAGCCGCTGCGGTCCCCCTCCCTGAAAGCAGACTCCTTTGCTTTCCTGAGCTGCCGGAGTTTAGCAGTGAACCAGGGTTTGTCGTTGTTATAGATGACCCTGGTCCTTGTTGGAATGATGCTATCCTCACAGAAGTGAATGTATGACGTCACAGTGTCCGTATATTCATCCAAACTATCTGTGGCAGCTCTGAAAAGGTCCCAGTCTGTAGATTCCATGCATGGGCGCAGCTCTTCCACAGCTTCATCAGACCACACTTTGGAGCTCCTCACTGCAGGTTTCGAGAGCTTTAGTCTCTGTCTGTAAGCAGGAACCAGATGTATCATGGAGTGATCTGAGAAGCCGAGGGCTGGCTTGGGAACAGCGCGAAAAGCTCCGCGCACGGTGGTGTAACAGTGATCCAGAGTGATCTCCTCTCTGGTCGGGCATTTGATAAACTGTCTGTATTTGGGTAATTCCTGGCTCAAGTTTCCCTTATTAAAATCCCCCAGGATAATAATCAGAGAGTCCGGGTATAAACGTTCCATACACAGTACTTGCTCTGCGAGTGCGCGCTGAGCCTCGCGCGCGTCCGCGCATGGCGGTATGTAAACAGAGGCAAGAATGAAGGAAACAATTTCGCGCGGGGAGTAATATGGTTTACAATGAATGAAAAGATATTCCAGAGCAGGAGAGCAGTGCTTGGAGATCACTGTCACATCGTTACACCAGTTTGTATTGACGTAGAAACACAGCCCTCCGCCTCTGCTCTTCCCTGAGAGCGCACAATGGCGATCCGCGCGGAACAGCCCAAAGCCCTGCAGCTCCAGAGCGCAGTCCGGGATCCGCTCATTTAGCCAGGTCTCAGTGAAGCAGAGGACACAGGATGTGGCGAAGTCCTTGTTTCTTCTCATGAGCAGGCTGAGTTCGTCCATCTTATTGCCCAGTGAGCGTACGTTGGAGAGAAAAATGCCGGGGAGAGCCGTGCGCGCTCCTCTCCTCCTAAGACGCACGAGCAGGCCTCCGCGCTTTCCCCTTTTACGGGCCCACACTTTTTTGGCTAGAACATGAACTAAATCAGCCGCAGATGCCAAGAAAACAGGCAATAGGTCCATGGGAACGGTGGGTCGGATGTTCATAAGTTCCTCACGGGTGTAGGAACAGCCAGATGCGCAGTTAAAAAGTAAAAACAAAAGAAAAAGAGAGCAGCAAAGAGCCATGTCGACCGTACGAGGCGCCATCTTGATGCATTGGTTTGAGCACTACCCCAGATTCATACTGCTGCATTTTTTGGGTGATGGGTTAAACCAGCAGCCTCACTACGTCATCCTCACAATTCTGGTCAGAATGTGAGTCTGACACTGATCCTTTGGGCTTACAGAGCTTGTTCCAACCGAACCAGGAAAAACAATGCCTCTCGGCTCTATTGCATAGTCCAATAACCAACATGAGCAACGTGATAAACACAGGTGTATTCACACCATAGGTGTTATTTACCTGTAGATCGCAGATTTAATTTAATTGTTACTGGGAGTCGGTGGTCCCCTGTGATAAACGAGGGACCACTGCATTCTGGAAGCCAGCCTGAATCTCAGTCAGGCGAGATGTTGTGTGACAAAATGTTACACCGCTGCTTACGTTACTGTTGCATCTGCCCATCATCGTATAAAGCCCACCCTGACATTTTGATTGGTCCCATATGATTCTGTTCGGACATAATTCTACCCCAACAGAGAAGTGCCAGACCGAACTACTGCAGGAAAATGATGTAGGCGGGGCTAGTACTGCTGCAATCAGGCCACCCAGAGGAAACCCATTCAGACATGAGGACAAGCATGCAAACTGCCTACAGACTGGTCCAGTCCGGGGATTGAACACACAACCCTCTTAATGTGAGGCATGAGCACTACCCACTAAGATTGTGCTGCCAATCTTTATTGTCTGAATTATTCACAACTTCAAAGCTGAGCACTTCCAGTTTCTTGAATAATGAAGCACTGTATAAATTGTACAAATAATTGTTTCTGCTGCTACTGGACACCTGAATTTCTCCAAAGGGGCATCAATAAAGTATCTATCAATCAATCTATCAATTGATTAAAAAATGGTTACATTTTCTGTCCTTAGAACTCCAAAAAACATTTGTGTGTAAAAGTTAATCTTTTCCTAAAACGCAACACAGACTCATCCATCACATTAAAGACAAGTGGGTGACATAACTCTGCATTGGCCGTATCTGCGGAGAGGCTATTCAGCTCACTGAAATACATTAGGTTTTTGTGCTGTAGAAATATAGTTAATAACACTAGAACAGTCAAAGCAACGGCTTTTGGTTTTGGAAGCACATTTACTCATAAATGTGAGGAATTCCAACTCCCAGAGCCGTCATTTTGACTGCTCCATTCATTTGAATGTACATTTCAAATGTAGCCATTTTCAGTCGCTTGGCAACCAACATTCTTTGGCAGGCAAAGCCCCTTTTTTTCA